CAAAAAAAAAAAAAAAAAAGGCCTAGCGCAGTGGCTCACACCTATAGTCGAAGCACTTTGGGAGGCCAAGGTGAGAGGATTGCCTGAGCTTATGGGTTTGAGACCAGCCTGGGCAACTTGGTGAGACCTCACCTCTACAGTAAATTAAAAAAAATTAGCTGGGTGTGGTGGCACATGTCTGTAGTTCCAGCTCCTTGGAAGGTTGAGGCAGAAGGATTGCCAGAGCCTAACAGGTCGAGGCTGTGATGGTCATAAGCGTGCCACACTGCACTTCAGTCTGGGCAACAGAGTGAGACTCCGACTCAAAAAGAAAACAACAACAACAAAAAATGTATCTCGCGGATGTGGTGGCTCACGCCTATAATACCAGCACTTTGAGAGGCCAAGGTGAGAGGATTGCTTAAGCCCAGGGGATCGAGACCAGCCTGAGCAATATGGTGAGACTTGGTCTCTGCAGTAAATCACAAAAACTAGCCGGGTGTGGTGGCGTGCTTCTGTAGTTGCAGCTACTTGGAAGGCTGAGACGGAGGGATCACCCGAGCCCAGCAGGTCGTGGCTGAGGTGGCCATGAGCATGCCACTACACTCCAGCCTGGGGGACAGAATGAGACTCTGACTCATAAACAAAAAACAAAATGCATCTAACCATGTAGCAGACACACCCAATAAAGGCCTCTCCTAGCACAAGGAATAAAAGCCAACCCTCCCCTTTCTACAAGGCCATCCATGGCCTTCCCCCTGTCTCCCCTTCTCCCTATATTTCTTCTTGTCCATGGAAACTATGCGGTTTTCTGTTTGAAAGCTTCTGCATCTCTCACAGCAATTCCTTCCCATCCTTAAGGTCCAGCATTGGCTCTGGAGCCTGCAGCCCAGACTAGCTGGTGTGTGACCTTAGGTAAGTCACTGGCTTTCTCCATGATTCTGTTTCCTGCGAAATGGGCATGCTAATGGTAACCATTTCAGAGGGCGATTTCAAGATTTAAAGAAGAAACAGTGCTAGAGAGGGGCCTGGCACTTAGCAGGTTCCAGTGTGCTGTTTTTTTTTTTTTTTTTTTTGA